TAAGCATAATCCTAAAAACTCGTCAGCTACAAAGTAACTTGGAATACAGAGTTACACCTCTAGAATCCACCGCGGCTGAAGCTGGTTTATGACACCGAAAACATGCGATGCAAAGTGAATTCCCAGCCTAAGCCCGGGGGAGAATCACCGAGGCAGATTCCTATTTCAGTCCTCCTCCCTCAGCCCCTCTCTTCTCTCCCTCTACTCTCCCCTCCAGGATTTTCCATGCCCTGAATTCCCCAAACGGCGAGGCCGGGGAGCACAGCAGCGCTCAGCCACCCCCAGTCCATGAGAGTTGCCTGTGGACTCCTACCGCAAAAAATGAAGTTTTCTGTTTTACCTTGCAGGTTATTCCTACTTAGTTTCTGGAGCTGGAATGGACGAGAACGCAGGAGCCCACGGCCGCACATTCAAGTGCATTATTTCAATTAGCTGAGCGTTCTTTGTTGCAAGGTGAAATCATTCACTCCCCGGGAAAGCTTTTTTATTGAATGCTTTCTAAATACTTGCATTGGGCACGTCGCCTGGAATTGAGTCTCTGTCACTAGTGTTTCTGCGGTGACTTTGACCAGATCAATGACTGGAAAAGGCATTAAGGACACATTGATACCGCGGGGTAGGAGACGAGCAGGGTTTGGTGCTCAGGAGTAAAGAGAAACCGATAATGAGCAGATAAACGGCTTTTCTTAACCCTTGGCGTTCTCGGGAGGCTTCGGCAGCTCCGCTGCCTCTTCTCCTCCACCCTGGCTCTCAGGCTTGATGTAAAGCCGAGCGGTGGCAAGGCAAATATCTCCCGGCTATTCCATAAATTTGGAGTGAAATGCGGTCAGGATAATGAGAAAGTCTTTCCTGGGGCAGGCGGGGGGAAGAGCCTGAGGCCATAAAAAGTTCCAGCTCATCAAGGATTTCGTTTCTGAGCGAAGCCGTGATGCAGGAGCGAGCGGAGAAACAAACTCTGGAGACGTTTTCAATTGCAGATTCACAATCTGACCTTTTATCCCGACAGCAGAACATCGGCCGTGATTTAGCGGGCACAGAGCCGAGCGCTGAGAGCCACGCACTGACAGCCCGCAGGAGCCTCGGCTCTTTCCTATCCTTTCCCTAGCAAAAACACGAATAAACTTGTTTGAAACCGCTACCGGGAGATGGATTTATTTTATTTTATTCCCCTGAAATACTACTAGTTACTACAAGTAACTAGAAATCACTGAGGGTTTGGGTTGTTTTCTTAAGTCCCTGCGATTCTCTGGGCGCTGGGGGACACGGAGCTTCCCCCGCACGACCCGGGGATTCCCAACCCGGGGGATGCTCCGAGCCCTCGGTAAAGCAGAGCGAGACATTTCGTCCCTTCGTGGAGAGGAGAAGCTGAGCCGTTTTCCTGTGTCCCGGCTTTTCCCATTTTGCTGAATCTCGAGAAAGCCGGGATTTTATTGCACCTGGAGTTCAAGGACGCTCCCTCTCACACTTCGCAGTCTTAAAAAAGTCGCGCAGTGCCTGCTTCCTCAGCTTGCTTACCAAATCCCTGATTAATAAAGTTTACTTAGTTATTTAAATAGATTAAATGTCACATTTTAAATGGAAGGGGAAGGTTCTACCTTCATGACCTATTTTTCATTTCTGATTTAGAAAAAGGCAAGATTAGCATGGATATTGCATTTTCAAGGACCTCGCCACTATTAAATAGACTGTTAAGTGCATTTTATGGCTGAAGAGTCTGTTCCCGGTTCAGTCTGGAAGGCGTGCTAAGTTCATCTCTACCTGCTACATTGAACATTCACTGACTAAAATACTTCCTGTGGATGTAATACCTTTGCTCTGTATCTTTTAAGTACATAACGCTTTATGTTTTAGCACTGGTAACACGTAATTCAATAAAAGCTCCCGAAATAGAAGTGTTGTCTCCCAAGAAAACTGCACGAGGGTGTTTGGCCAGTTGCAGCGATTCCCGGCTCGGGGAAAAGGCACGGCGGTGGGAAGGGAGGCTTCGGGGAGGGATGACAGGGATGCTCGCGGCTCCGGGAGGGTGTTTAAGCGGGCGCGCATCAGTCGCCGCCCCGCGGGATGCCCGTTCCCGTGCCCAGATCCGCGGGGATCTAACATCAGGAATTCTCCCTCGGAATGACGAGGCTGTTTTTCCGCCTCTCGGGCCGGGCTGACCCCCCGAAACAGGCGGGCCCCGAGTGCGTCTGGAACACGAGGAAGAGTCCACAAAACTGCCCGAGCTGCCCCAGGAGGCAAAATCCCATCGAATTCCTTCGGGAACTGTCCCCCTGCCCCACACCCGCAGGAGGGAGAAAAATCTCCCCCCCCACCCCCCCGCCCCAAAGCAAGTCCTTGTGTCTTTCCCGGAGTGGAACACCCCCGAGGGCCCAATGAAGGACGAGGGATGGCGCTTCCCAAAGCGAAATGTTGCCCCCCCCCCCCTTCCTTTGTTTCTGGCCCAGGTCACAAAGCCGGGGCC